CCTGTTTCTTCCAAAGACGCCTCCTTCCTAGCGGCAGAATTTGGTGTTTCAGATTGGGGTCTCTGTCTTCCGGAGATGGAAACTTAGTTTACTCTTGCATCCTTTCCTTCCCTCTCCATTTGCCTACTGGTCTGAGAGAGGATGGGAGGAAGGGAAGAAGGAAGGTAAGGAAAAGCGAACGATTGAGAAATTCTGTTATTAAGATCAAATCAGTCACTCCCTGGCCCCAGAGCAAAGCTCCTCACGCGGAGCTGTTCCCTGCCCTCTCCCAGGCGCCGGGCGGGTTCCGGATCCTTCTTTTCGCCCTCCGCGAAATCGATCACGCCTCCCAGACAGCTGAAGGGGGGCACTTTGCCACTCTTCACAGCTTCGCCCCAGCCTCTTTAGCTTTCAATTGAAAACCAATTAAAGGTTTCTATAAATCTGTTAGTGCCCCTTTTATCTGGAGACCCCTGATGCATGCGATATTGCCCTTTAGATGCCTCTTCCGTGTTTTGTTTTACAATTGTTGTATCAATATAATGCGGCCTTTCTTCTCCTGTCTCTATAGATACAGATACACAAGGCAAACCAAAGCTATTCAGTCTCCTCATTTGTCCGGCAGCCTAACACTGGTGCCCTTTCTCTGCGGCTGCTCTCCCTGCTTCGGGAGCAGCAGTTATGGTAGAAGCAGATGGCTACTGATTGGGGGAGCTTTGTGGCTCTAATACTGAATACTTTATGGAAAAGGACTTTAGCATGCTTCGTTGGGCAGAGGAACAAGGGGATGAGATTTATGGCCAGGAAAAATAAATCTTTTCTAAGTTGCAGCTCCTTCTCACCAGTTGTTGCCTTTGCCCTGGAATTGGAGGGAGGTTGGGGGGTGAAACACTGAGGAAATGGTTTTATTTCATTTTATTCTCCTTTCTATTCCAACGCTTTTTAGTCAAGGTTTTAGAAGAGAGCAGAGGAAGAGCCAGAAGTTTATGAAATACCTTAGATAGCTGTTCCTGCATCAGTATTCTCTGCCCTTAAGAATAAACAGAAGGGTATGGGTCTTGAATGCTGTTTGGGGCCATGTTTCCCCCGATGAACTGTTTGTTCCTGGTACAGCATCATCCTCCATTATCCTACTATCTATGGAGAACAAAAAAGCATATCAGTGATCCCATCTGAAAAATCAGAGGACCCTGGTATTGAGAGAATGAGGCAAGTGATGAAGCATATGGTGATACAGTGTGCTTTCCTCCTCTGAAAGGGTCTGAGCCTTAAAGATGACTAAGGGATGCCTATGGATGTAAGGTCCTGGACTCTAAATTGAATTTTCAAGCTTTGGGGAATTTATAGATCCCATCCCTCCATTAAAGGCCTCATTCATCCCCAAGATAATTCACCCCTGTATCTTCCCCTCCCAGAAGCCAAAAACAGAATGTCACACAGAAATGCTCTTAGCATCCCTACTGGCAGCCAGGTGCAGAGAGATGGAAGCCAACCCCAATTCTGGGTCTCCTATTCCATTCCAGACAGACCCTTTGTCTCAATATTTGAAATGCCATTCTCTACTCAAGACACATTTGTTGAGCATCTTCCATGTTCTAAGTTCCTTTTCCCTGCCTTTCCTATTCTTTTACCTTGTCCCTAGAAACTGAAGAGGAAGAGCCAGAAGGAAAGGCATGTAGCTTTCAGAAGTGTCACCTAATTTACTGCCACAAGCTGCCTTTTCCCGGTTGTGTGCACTACCACCCAGCCTGGCCACATGCACCTTTACATTGTTTCTCTCTGAAGAGGATAAAAAGATTAGGAGAACTAAGATTAAAAAATTCTATTTACCCAGCATTTCAAAGTGGCAGACACTGAGATGCTTTAACTAATTAACTGTTTAGGCTCTTACCATGTGCTAGACTAAATGCCCCCAACAGGCTTATCACCTTTAATTATTACAACCCTTTGAGTTAAGGATTATCAACCCTAGTTCACAGATCCCCTTCCTTCACAGCAAACAGGAGAACAGAGAAGCTAACCCAAGCAACTGGGCCAGCTGGGTTCTGAACCCAGCTTGCTTTTACAATATTCATAGTGACTCTAAGATACCAACGGTGTTTCTGCTATTTTCCAGATGAGGAAATCAGACCTCAGAGAGGTTAAGTGTGTGCTCAAAGACACACAGCTAGTAGACTGCAGACCCGGGGTTCAAATCTAAGTGTTTAGGATCCCAAATTTTGGTCCAATGGTTCCAGGACCCTTCAGAAGAAAGGGCCCACACTGACCTCTGTTACCTGTCCCTGCGCAGGCAGGAGGGTTCATGAGACTGTAGGCCTGGGGTAAAGGCACTTCCACTGCAGAGGCCCGAAAGCAGCAGGGATCCAGGCAAGGAGGCTTTGCCCCAAGCCCTGGCCTGGAACTAGGGGGCGCCATGCGGCCCACAAGGCCCCGTGCAGACCGCGTGTGGACGTCGGGGGCGGGGCCAGGGTGCCACCACGTGGCTGAGGCCCGGCTGTAGTGCCGTCCGGCTGCTACGAACGGTGGCGTGTGTAGGGGCGGTCCAGGAATGTCCACCCGGTCTCAGGGCCACCTGCTCCTGAGCCCCGCAGTTGCGCCTCAGCCCTTTGAGGAAGAGAAAGGGCCGCGTGGCTCCCAGGCCCTGAGTCCCGGTCGGGGCCGGCGGCCGGGGCCTCAGGTTCCTCTGCCCCGCCCGGCTCTGGCATTCTGGCCAGGACACTTGAGGCGGTCAGCCCTGCGTTCTCAGGCTCATAACCCCACGGGGTCGCGCTGCCCGGACTTGCCCGCGTTTCCAACGTGTACTGCTGCCAGGTCTGAAGAAAAGACTCACGGCCGGGATGAGGGATAAAAGCCCAATCTCCCAGGATCCCGGCCGAAAAACCGCTCGTTCTACCGTAAAGTCTGTGTTTGGGCCCTTGCGGATCCCTAAACACCTGGACACAGCCCTCATACCTTCTTACTTTATCCTACAGGACGTCCTTCCTGTTAGAAACATCGAGAAATCCTCAGCCTTCACTGAGTGGCTTTGAAAGCGGAGGCATAGTACAATTCTTAAATTTTCTGAAAGGGAAGCCAAGGCAGTGTTACTATCAGTAAGAGGAGCCAGCACTGAAATAGGTATTTAATGTGTGTTAGGCATTGTTCCAGAGAAGGCAATGGCACCCCACTCCAGTACTCTTGCCTGGAAAATCCCATGGACGGAGGAGCCTGGTGGGCTGCAGTCCATGGGGAGTCGGGCACGACTGAGCGACTTCACTTTCACTTTTCACTTTCATGCATTGGAGGAGGAAATGGCAGCCCACTCCAGTGTTCTTGCCTGGAGAATCCCAGGGACGGGGGAGCCTGGTGAGGTGCCGTCTATGGGGTTGCAGAGTCGGACACGACTGAAGCGACTTAGCAGCAGCAGCAGCAGGCATTGTTCTCTGCGCTTGCTAAATATCAACTCAGCCCTCACAGTAACTTCATAAAAAGAGCTGTCTTTATTACCCTTGATTCACAGAAGGCCTGAAGCACAGACGGGTTAAATTACCTGCCACGCGTCAGGGGCCAGGATTCCAACAGAGGTAGATAGTTGCTCTGATGGAGTCGTGGCCTAAACCTGAGTTGGTGGTGGTCCTTCTCGGGTCAGTTCTCTAGACGTCTGAGAAGAACGTTCCTTTATGAAGGCACTGAGACCTCTCTGGGACGGCCAAGGCTGAAATGAAACTAACTCCGGCTCTTGGAAGTAATCCCTTACCATCTGCTCAGCAACTGGCTTTCCAGAGCGCGCTCGCCCTCATTTCCTCACTGAGTCGTCGCCGCGACCCCGGAGGCAGCTCTGGCCGGCCTTATTTCGCCCGAGGAGAAAATCCAAGGCTGGGAGCGGTCACGGGCAGCTCAGCTAGTGAAAGATCTGAACACAGACCGCAGGCCCTGGGAAAAGGGAATGGGGGCGCCGTGTGAGGACCAACCAAGGAGGCGTGGTGAGGGGGAGCTGCGGTACCCAGTGCTCCAGAAACCTTTCCACAGGGAAACTAGCCGCGTAGCAGGAGGCCAGAGTTGGCGCTAATTCCAGGCATGCAGTAGGAGACTGGAGAACACGGAAAACTTGGAGGGGAGGGGGCTTAACTGCACTTCCCCCCTCCTTAGGCCAGGGCAGGTCTGTCCCCGCACTGGGAGCGCTGGGTGGCTTCTTCCTGCTCAATGTGGCCGGCTTGCTAGCACTGCTTCTGAAAGAGTAACGCTGCACCGAAAGCTTGTCTGGTTCTGCCCAGTGTCACTCCAAGTGTAATGGGAGTGTTGTCTGCCCTCTGTGGTACTGTCCGGGTAATGCTGTCTTTGGGTCCATCGTGAGGAAGCCTCCTTAGCCCACCAAGTTCATCTCTGTTATTTGGCTTTCTCTGCACTCTTAGCTCTGTGGCCCTTTGCTGAGACCTGCAGGCTGCTGAGGAGAATCCAGATATAAAGAATTGTCTTAGGCTAGCAAACATTTCCCTGCCTTGCCTTGAGGCCCAAATGTTGGGCCTAACTCAGCTGTGAGTGGCTTTAGGGATAGAAAAACTCATTCAGTCTCCCAGATAAGAAATGGAACCGGCTGCACTCTCAAAGCACTGACTTTCCCCAGGACATTTTCACAAGTTCAGAAGCTCCTTGGAAAAGTTAACTTCCTAGTGCCTCAGGTAAACTGACTCTAGGATGTAGATAACACTGTGAGGCACCTGATCACATACACTAGGTACTTGTTACTAGAGTGATATATATAAAACATATTCTTCAGAACTCTTGTTTTGCTTCTCTGGGAACAATTGCTTTCCTATATGATGTCATATATTCTCAAAACCATCTTACATGAAAACATGTAACAAGAAGTGACTACTTTGCAGACATGCAGCCAAGAAAAACCTCTCCTTCTCCCCCCCCCCCCCCGCGCGCACACACACACACACACACACACACGACCATGTCTGATCAGGTATATTGTTCAGACATAATTGGATTCTAGGCCTTCAGGAAACTCAACACTCAGGTCTTTAAATTCAGTGTATTTATTCTTCTTAAGAATTTGTGAATTTTTTCCCACAATTCTGGATTATTTATTTTTAAAGTATGGGTTTTCTTTAAAACTTTAGAGGACATTATGAATTATATCTTGGTTACCTTTATATGACATCACCAGAAGACTAGCAAATCAATGTGGAAGTTGGCTTTTCAGTAAGAAAGTATTAGTACAAGAGAACAAGTACAAGTGTCAGTCCCCCTGCCTATCATTTTTGCCACTTTGTAATGTATATACAATATTGCTTATAGTAGTGATGATAGTACTATTATTGTTCGTGACCTACACTGATCGTTTTTTAGTGCTGATGAAAAAGCTCTAGGCCTTCCTTATACTATTTTCAGAGACATTCCCCCTGCGCTGCTAGATTAATACCCCCAGATTAAATTATGAAATACATGCAACTCATTTGAATTGAAATCATGAAAGATAATTTTCACTCAAACAATCCAATTTGCAAGATGACCAGGGAAGCAGTTTGTGTATGAGGACACAGTTTGTGAAAAAATTAAACTATTTCCAAGGCTCTAACAAAGTAATGTGAGTCGTCACTGTTGTGGTGAGTGATGGATATCTATTGCTCCTATCCTTTTCATTCTTTTTCTTTTTTGCCTCCCTTTTTGTTAGAGAAAATCAGATGTCTCCTCGAGCTTCAGGAAAGTGTGCCGTGGACAGATTCCTAGCTAGAAAGTCCTGAGTGTGCATGCATTCTGACAAGACCCCCTTCCCAGGAGAGGAATGCCATATGCTCTTCAAAGGTTAGCTGTGATCAGGTGCCAGGGAGTCAAATCTGCCTAGTATGAACCCACTTTTTCAGTAAGCATCTCTCTTTTAACCTGGGGTCAAACTGGAGTCTTGTCTCTTGAGGCTTCTGCATTGGTAAAGTGGATTCTTTACCAACTGCACCACCTGGGAAGCCTAAATAAAGGGGAAAAGAGGTAGAAGTCAGGTGCTGAGTATTGGGATAATTCCTTTGTCTTGGCTGTGTAAAGAAATGTGATGTAGAGCTTCTCAACTTGGTCGCATTTCTAAGGCCTAGAGTCAGTCTTCTCAAAATCTGATGCTCCCGCCAATCTGAGACTGCTGGACACCCCTTGGTCCCTTGTCTATCTGGAAACCCTGACCCAGAGGATAAGGAGGGGCTGACTATGGCCCTGTCTACATTTCCTTCCTCCTACCCTACTCCACCTTTAAGAAGGAAATGGCCACCCACTCCAGTATTTTTGCCTGGAAAATCCCATGGACAGAGGAATCTGGTGAGTGGCTACAGTCCATGGAGTCACAAAAGAGTCTGACATTACTTAGCAAGTAAGCAACAATCCTACTCCACCTACTAAGATATATTCAAGGACTGTATGTATGATTCTGGGGAGGACTTTGTAACCTGAGGATTAGATAGAATATTCCTTGCCAGATCTCTAGAGATTCACCTTGGAGGAGTATAAAATCTGGGAGAATGCAGGGGGCCAGGATACTGGATAGTAGATCTGGTTCACAGGTTACATTCACACAGGTGAGCATGAGGCATTCATTTCAGGTCTATAGTAACCACTATAGATGCCTTCAGTATCACCACAGTTTCCTTGCTCTGCTGGAAGTCATTTTCAGAAGTCCTTTAAGCCAGCTGACTACAGCTTAGATCCAGGAGAGAAACTGAATTGCACAAAGGCTATCCAGCTCGAAGCTGAACTCCAACAGAAGGAAGGGCAAGTGGAACTTGAGATCCCTCAGAGAGAAGGTTTTATAGCTATAATGATGATTGCAGTTGTAGCAACAGGATTAAGAAGAAGAGGAAGAGCCTAAGAGAGAAAAATGTGAGTGAGGAGTAATGATCCCTGCAATTGGAAGCCTGGAGTCCCTCCTCACAGGCTACAAAATTATCCATCCTTTGAGTCTCTGGCTGTCCTAGAATGAGCCTAGGAAACATTAATTCATTTATAACCTATTGAATCTGCTATAACCCTTGGTGAGGAACAGACCCAGACTGATTTTGCCATGAATATCTATATAAAGCAAAGTGCCCCCTCCCCATTCCCGTAAACCTTTATCCAGTTAAGCCAATTGCCTCTTGCCTCTAATTTATCCCTTAGAAAGTTCTTTATCCTCCTTGGTAAGGCTAGGGCAGTGCAGTACCCCTCCATGAAGTTCCATAATCTGTCTCCCCCAGTCTCCCCATAGCTCCTCCCAGATACCTCCCTGTAGGAAACTAATAAGCTTAGGAAAAAGTCTCCACCATCTATCTGCTTCTTTGGCATCATCTTGTCTCCCAGTGTGAAAATATATAATATTATATACCTATATATTTCAAACTAAGTCTTTACTGGTATAGTGCTTTGGAGATATGATTGGAGGGGGATGAGCCAGGACCTGGAAAGGGAGAGAGAAAGAAAAATATTGTGTTTCATTGTTATAAAGTAATAATCCTTCTGAGTGAGTTATTCTTGGAGACTTTACCTGCCTCCTATCATACAAGTTGAGATATTTGAGGCCCTCTTTCTCTACCCTGGGAGGAAAAAGGACATTTCCATTGTAACACTCTCAAGTATCAGATTTCCTTTCATACCCTTTCTCCACCCTCTCACTTAGGTCGTAAAAGGCACCACCTCAGGAGTCATTCATCAACCTCTCTCCAGCCTTCTCTTCCAAAACAACGCTGCAGTTGTCTACACATGTATTTTCTGCCGTAACTCCAAGAAGCCTTGTTAAAGTGGGGCAAGGCAAAAATACCGTCACTCTTCATCGTCATCCCTCTAATCATTTAACTGGAAATAAAATCCCAAGGAAGAGAGCTCTAAATATATGCATAAACCCATGTTCCATGTGAATTAGATAAAAAGTATTGACCGAGATATATTTTTATAGTACTGTTTGAGGCTGAATAAATGCCTCAACCCTTCATTTAGTATCAGTGAATTCCAGTAAGTAATAATTCAGGATGATTTCAAAGTGGTTTATGCCCCACTTTAGCCCATAGATTTCTAGAGAAATTAAAGTAAGTTGTAGGTTTTCTTTACCTCCAATTAACAGTTTTCACTTAGGTCACTTATACTACCTAGCAAAATATGTTTTACTTAAAATGCTAGAAAACCCTCAAAATAGGAATTTCAAACTTACTTTTACCTATATTTGTGGGGTTTGTTGTTGTTGTGTGATTTATTTAATACATAAGACAAAGAGTTGGTTGGATTCATAAAATGTAGGAATTATTTTTTAATTTGGAGACTTTTATCTAAAATTAGTAGGGGAAATCTAATTATGGGGCAAGATAAGTGAAACTGAGAGAATCAGATGGCTGATTCTCAATACATCTCTCTCCTCTTTGATGTATAGAATCTTAGTTATTTTCTAGCTTGACATTTGGAAAGCCAAGCTCCCTCACCCCCAATTTCAGTGCCAAAAACATTTATTATTTTATACAGATTAGAGTCTAGGTTTCAGTACCTCAAAGAAGACATAGTCCAAGTGCCCTTTATATTTAAGAAAGGAAAGGCCAGGGAAAAGAAAAATGCCTTCTGCCATTTAGATTCTAAGGTTTTCCAGAATGCTTATATTCTGGGGTAGATCCTTTTATACTCACAATATGTAAGAAGATTTTTAAAAAGTGGTTTGCATGGATGGATGACTTTTCCTGGGAAAAGCAAACTTCCTATTCTCTTAAAAAACAAACAAAACAGTAAAAGAAGGCCCTTAGAGTGTTTGGTTCTACAGTTTAGGAATTAAGTTTGAAAACACTGCACTCCCCCACCCCCATTACCCATCCCTTGCCACCCCCCCAACACACACACTTGCTGTAGTTTCTTAGGGACCACAACCCTCTAATGGTTACTTCTTTATCTTAATTTGCTGTTGTTTACACCTTCTTCTTTCTCTGAATTCACTGAAGTGAATTCTTCAACACTGCAAGTTATTTTTCAGATGTTTGAGATAATTCTTTTGACATTTCTAATCCCATCACCCTTTCTTTAAACAAATGATGAGGGATGCTTTTGTGTGTGTGTGTGTGTGTATGTGTGTGTGTGTGTGAATGAGATGAGGGGAGTAATGAATGGAGCATCCAGTTATAAGACAAATGGTGACTAAATAACTTTACAGATTTTTATATAGACACATATGAAAACTCTCAGCATTAAGCCTTGGTCATTACATGAGTTGCCCTTAGCCAAACTATTTTAAAGTGTGGATAAGTATAAGAGAAAAGATATGTTCAGATGGAAGGCAACTGCAGTTTGAGATTTCTTTGAAAAGTTGATAACTAACCTGAAAATTAAGGGCGAATTCTCCCTTTACTTCCTAGTATATGGGGATTTTGCAACCTTTCTTTCTCCAAGTCCCAGCTTAGGCAATGGGCCCTGTCTGATCAGAAGGATTCTGAATTTATGTGTGGGGGGCGGGGAGGGGGAGAGGGGGGAGCGCTGCGGCTGGCCAGGGCTGGATGAAAAGAGAGGGGAGGAGCGGGGGTGACAGGAAAACCCAGTGGGAAATTCCTCGCACTGTTTTTTAATTTCTCCTCTGCAGAATTCTCTCCAGGCCTCCTAGCACTTTGGGACCCGGGGTAAAGATGATCCGTGCCTGACTGCTTCACTGGGTTCTGGAGGGAGGTCTCAGAGCCTCAAAGCACACACCTTTTCCTTTTAAGCTGCTCTTCGCCAACCCCCAATCTACTTACCTTGTTTGAACACAGGATACAAACTAGGCTGTCTCCTCAAGTCCTGGCCACTTTAATCAGCTACTCGTCCGATTTATCCTAAAGCTAATGGATTGCCCTCTTCAATGTAGTGGTGGTGTGGCTGGGGCTGAAGGAGAAGGACTGTCTATACCACTCAAAAGGTCTTTCTTCCCTTAGGAGCAGAGAGAGTTGAATGTCGAAAAAGAACCCTGAGATCCCCCAGCGAAAATGTGTGGCGGAATCCTGCAGAAGGACTCCACTTTCAGGCCGTTAAAGACCTCCAGTCATTAGCATCAGCTGCTGCACTAAAGGAGCAAGCCAGCGCCTCTAAGTGGCTTAGCGCACAAACGAGGCTCCCGAGACGGCCTCGGCCTCTCCATCCACTCTTCCACCACCTGCTGGACGTGAAAAGCTCTCCGGAGCCCATCTCGGTAATAATTTTTACTTTTGACTCACCTTCCCCACCCTCGGGGGTCTTAGAATATCGGCCTCACCCGGTAGGGGACCCGCGTGGAGACTAGGCGGAACGCGCCAGGCTGAGGGCGGAAGCGCAGGAAGAGATTGTGTCCCACAATCTGGGTTTTCTTTCCCACCCATCTCCTCCTCACCCCTTCTCCCGCCCGGTACTTGTGTACTGGGGCAAAAGACCCCTGTAAATTCCCTTCGGAGGTCTGGCGGCGTCTCTACTCCATCTCCCTTACCTATCTCCGTGTTCAAGGAAGGACCGAGCCAAGTTCTCACCAAAGCGCATCCTTTTTGAGTCTTGCTCCTAAGGGCTTGGTAGTGTGAGCGCTTATGGAGAGCGCTGGCGAGCGTTTGTCACCACCACCCCCCCAGGCAACTAGCCGCGCGTATCAGCTGCGGCTGGAGGGGCTAATCCACAACCCCCTTTCCCCTCCAGAGAACTCAGACTCGGGGGAAATGCGCGCGGGGTCCTTGCGCGCGCTGAGTGGACAGCCGTCTGCCAAGGGTTCTCCAGGTGCCAAGAGGAACGGGGAAAGGCCCTCTCCAGGTCTTTTTGGTACTTCCCTTTCCGACCCCCAAGCTGATCCCCGCCCCCAACCAGTCCCAGAGAGCCCAGGCTTTCGGAGGTGTGAGCCGGGCCGAGCTCCGAGAGGCGTTGCCACACGGAGAAAGCGCTCAGGGGCTGCGCGGGGCGCGGGTAGGCCGGCGAGACCGCTTCCAGGCAGGCGGCGCCGCCGGAGGGAGCGCCCAGCCCAGCAAAGAGTTAAAGGGAGGGGACGTGGGCTGTCACGCGTCATTGGGCAGATTATGTGCAGCAAACAAAAAGTGTGTGTCTGCGTGCCAGTCAGTCACTGCATCGGGCCCATCTGTACAACTCTCTCTTCTCTCTCCTCTCCCTACTCTCCCTGGTTCCTCCGCGTCTCTCCACCTCTCCTCCCTTTAGGCAGACCCTACTTGACAGCAACACCAGCACCTCCCGACATGGAAATACACTGATACGCTAGGCAAAAGCAACACTCGTCCGCAACTCCCGGTTCCAGGTGGCCTCATTGGGGCGATTTGATCCTGACCTTATTCCTGGTAAGTCTCTGCCTCAATGGGGGTGGGGTGGGAGGGGGGAGGACGACAGGTTTGGTGGGGAGAGTGGAGAATTCTGTCCGTCTTCTCATTATCCAGAAGAGGGGGAGGAAATAATTGTGGAGGGGCTCGCTGCTGCCGACGGGGTTATACAAAGGGAGGGGCGGGTGGAAAGCACTTTGCCCAAGAAGAAGCCAGCGACTGGGGCGCGCGGCCGCCAGACAATGCCTGCCTACGGGGGAGGGCGAGCGGCCGGCGGCAGCGACGGCTTTCGGCGAGCCGGGCCGGCTCCGGGAGGATGCTCTGGGCGGCTGGGAACCCGGGCCTAGCGGAGGATGCAGAGCTGCGAAAGGTTGGGCGGCGAAGGCGACCGCGCGCGGGCGGCAGAGCCCAGGCTCTCGCCCAGCGCTTATTGTGAGCGGCGCGAGGCTCGTGGCGGCCGCCGCGGCGACGCGAACCCCTATTAGCGCGGCGTAGCGAGGAGCTTTTCACCGTATTGTTAGGTAGGACTGCATTTTAATGACTGCGTCCCTGCTGTTGCCCGAAGTGACGGGGCGACCTCTCGGCACAATGAGCCGTTTGTGTGAAAGAGACTTCTAAAAGGAAGAGAAAAATTGGGGCATAAAACGCTGAATTGAGGAAATTGAAAAGGAGAGAATAGAATTCCGTTGAAAAGGAGGTTCTGAGAGATGCTGAGATTTTTTTTTTAATGAATTTAAATGTGCAGTTGGAGATCAGATAGGCTACCTTGGGTGGGGTAAAATGCCCAGAGGTAAATGCTGTAGAATAATAAAGGGAGTTTCTACTTTATGGATATTTTCTCTGATTCCTGTCTGGCAGATACAGCCCATACTTGCTATTTGGAGGAGATAGCAGAATGAATGGAAAAGAGACTGGCCAAAGTTTCCTGCTCTGTTAGCTGTAAAAGGGAGGGGGAAAGCACTACCTTCTAATGACATTTGCAAGATTAATTGATTAATAGACATTAAGATAAAAATGGACTTTACCAATATTGTTCCAGAAAGAACAGATTCTTAGGAAAAGAATTGGGTTTCCCTTTCCTGCTACTTACTGTACAAAATGTACTTAAATATCTGCCTATGGCAATGTTATTGGGGAAAAATCAACTTGGAGCAATCTTCTAATCAGGCAGCAAAAGTGAACAATGCAGTCAGTTCAAAGCTGCCTTAAAATTTCAATATGTTTTGTTTGTTTTTTAATGATAAGTCTTGTAGTGGGGGGGGGTGGGGTTTGTCCAGTGGCAAAGGAAGGAAAATGTGTCTTTATGACAGCTTAATAATAAGAGAGCCCACCGCCGGGGCATTACTTTCTGAATTGCTGCAGATTAAACAGCTGGAGAGCCTACTGAGGTCTACTCAAGCGGGGCTGCCCCCTCTTGCCCAGACAAGGTCCGATCTGGGGGAGCGAACATTCACCAGTCATTACACACGCAGTATTTCAGACAGGGGACACTTCAGTCCTGCTCTGTACCTGCTCACTTCATGAGGCACATGCGACTCTACCCACCGCCTTGTATAACAAGGTAACTGGGATTCACCCTCATCCATAAATAAGCATGTCGAGAAGAAAATAATTACCTCTGCTTGCTGCTTTTAATTAAAGCCTCGGAGGGACAGTGTTGGATTATGGTAATGAGCAGACACACGTCCCCTCTTGTCGGCTGCAGAGAAAGGTTAGCTGACACGGAATCAGTGGCCCTGACACCCCACTTGAAATCCATTCGCCATGCTCCGCCGTCTCTGCCTGCTCACTAGTGCTGCTCCCCTCTTTGGAAGAAAAATAAAATAAGATAAAACCAGCTCCCGGACACCCAACTCAATACACAAGAGTAAAAGAGAGAAGCTTTTCCCCAAAGGTTAGAAGTTTCTTTCAGTCTAGAAAGTCTATAAGCTAGCGAAAAAAAAATCCTTTTGTTCTCCACTTTTCTCCCCCTCCCCCCCCATCCTGTCTCATCCTCCCCCCAGGTAAGTCAAAAAACATCTCCTCTTTCCTAGCGCCGTTTGTCTTTCTTTCTAGCAGTCAGTCCACTCTGAGCTCCCCCATCACAATTCTCTTTACATTTTTAAAGGAAAAGAAAGTACTCTTCTTTGGCATCTTTGTCATATGCCAGATTTAATCTGCCATCGGCTTTATTTCTGAAATAAGATCGATGCAAAAACCAAGCAAATTCAAGAAAAATCTGTCTAGTAGTTAGAACATTCTGCCTGGGTTCAGAGAGGCAAAAGGAGGAAGGTAAATTCGCTTCAATTGTCCTATGTATCTGTCTCCAGTGGTGATGGAGGATTCGGGCATCCAGCGAGGCATCTGGGAGGGAGATGCCAAGGCTGTCCAGCAGTGTCTGACAGATATTTTTACCAGCGTTTACACCACCTGCGACATCCCTGAGAATGCTATATTCGGTCCCTGCGTCCTGAGCCACACTTCCTTGTACGACAGCATAGCTTTCATAGCTCTCAAGTCCACAGACAAGAGAACGGTCCCTTACATCTTCCGGGTAAGTCTTGGTTGATGTTCTGTAGGATATGAGGGTAATATCCTCTTAAAAACAGACTAAGAATCATTCTAATAACAACCTGAGATAGGTTCTACATGTAGAAAATGCAGTGATACATGCAATTCTATTTTACACACCAGAAATTAGAAAAGGAAAATTAAACTCCAGAGTATTGTTAGCTGATTTTGGGAAATAAGTGACAAAATTAGATTTTGAATGCCAGATATGTCTAAATCAATGCCTGGATTCTGGGCTTTCCTGGAGATGAACACCACTTCCTTAACTCTGTGGGAAATTTCACTAGGATTGAGGCTATTTGTAGGTTAAGTACTTCCTATAAGTACTTTTTTGTAAATATTAGGTGCATTCGCCTTCCAATCCCAGAGGCCTCCTGTCCCCTGGGATATTACTCTTTCTGGTTAAGCTAGCTAGTGTCTAGAGTTTGTATTTAAATTAAAGTGTTGGTGTTTTGACAATAAAACATCATTCCAGCCATATGTTTGAGTGTGAAAAGTCCTGTCACTTCCTATTCTTTCTTTACAAAGAACCATTAGTTTAAGTCAAAATAAAGAAGATGAGCAAAAGTCACAAAATAATTTTTAAAATCTAAGTGTGCTTTTCACTTCTAAAACAGACAAAATTCCACATACTTTTGCAATGTGGGATAATTTAGAAATCAGTTCTCAAGAGCTTAGCACTAATTTGAATTGTTTTTAAAAATTGCTAATTTGGTATTCATCCAATATGTAAAAAGACAGGACTCTCCTGGTGGTCCAGTGGTTAAGGCTCTGCCCTTCCAAAACAGGGGCACAGGTTTGACCCCTGGTCTGGCAACTAAGACCCCACTGCCCCTTTGGCTAAAACACACACACACAAGCCTGCGACTTAAATAATCTGTATAATTAATGCAGCTTGCCAGGTATGTTATTTTGCCTGCTGGCAGCAAACAGGAGGATGGGTGTTAAGTTGAGTCAGGTTTTTGGAAACTTGATTTCAGATTCTTAGAGAAATAATAACAGCGGAAATGGCCCTGGCTCCTTTGGCTTCATTCCCTCACAAGAGTCTCCCTCCCTCATCCCCTTCCTTCTTGCATTCTTTCTCTTCTCTAAACTGTAGGTAGACACCTCAGCGGCGAATGGTTCCTCGGAAGGTCTCATGTGGCTGCGTCTGGTGCAATCAGCCAGAGATAAAGAAGAGCAGAACCTTGAAGCCTATATAAAAAACGGACAGCTGTTTTACCGCTCTCTCCGCAGGATTGCCAAAGATGAGGAGTTACTAGTTTGGTACGGGAAAGAACTGACCGAGTTACTCTTGCTCTGCCCCTCTAGATCCCACAGCAAAATGAATGGTAGGTTGGCTCAATCAAGACCTGTGTCCCGGCCCTTAGCTAGCGGAGGGGCGGAGGGTGGGGGCCGGCGGGGTCACTCTGGCGCCTGGGCGCGCCTTCCCTCCCTTGGGGTACCTTGTTGAGAGCTCCTGAGATATAATCTGGGGCGAAGCTGGGATAGCTAGGTGAGGATGAATCGGGACATGCTTGGCTTAATTCCTGCACTCTCCTCAAATCTGGAGGGAAAGTTAGACCGGGTCTTGTCCGATGTTCTTGTTTTCAGGCACTCAGACCCTGAGAGGTGAAAGTGGATTTGTGGAGGGGGTGATGGCAAACTGGCCTAGAGACGGTGCTGAGTAATCGTGTGTGTGTGTGTGTGTGTGTGTGTGTGTGTGCTGTTTGCTCACTAAGCAGGGTCGTCCCCTTACACGTGCCTGGAGTGCAGCCAACGTTTCCAGTTTGAGTTCCCCTATGTAGCGCATCTGCGCTTCCGCTGCCCCAAGAGACTTCACGGCGCTGATCTGAGCCCCAGAGAGGAGCAAGGCGGCGGCGTGGGCACCAAGGATCACGGGGGCGGCGGCGGTGGCAAGGACCAGCAGCAGTCGCAGGAGGCACCCTTGGGTCCCGGCCCCAAGTTCTGCAAAGCCGGCCCGGTCCACCACTACCCAGCGCCCTCCCCCGAGAGCGGTAATCCGCCGACGGCTGGTGGCGGCAGCGGCGCGAAGCCGTCCACGGACTTTCACAACCTGGCGCGGGAGCTGGAGAACTCCGGGGGCGCCAGCAGCTGCTCCCCGGTGCGGAGCCTCGGCGGCGGCAGCAGCCACCAGGAGGCGGAGCTGAGTCCCGACGGCAACGCCGCAGGCGTGGGCAAAGGGAAGAGGAAGTTCCCGGAGGAGGCGGCCGAGGGCGGCGGTGCGGGGCTGGTGGGGGGCCGGGGCCGTTTCGCCGAGCGGGCCCTGCCCGCCTCCAAGGAGGACCTGGTGTGCACGCCGCAGCAGTACCGCAACTCGGGCAGCTACTTCAGCCTGGAGGAGAACGGCCGCCTCTTCGCGCCGCCCAGCCCCGAGACGGGAGAGGCGAAGCGCAGCGCCTTCGTGGAGGTGAAGAAGGCGCCCCGGGCGGCCGGGGGGCCGGAGGAGGCGGCCGCCGACGGCGGGGGCGCGGACGGGCGGCGGCCAGGGCGCAGCGGCGGACGAGCGCAAGAGCGCCTTCTCGCAGCCGGCGCGCTCCTTCTCGCAGCTGTCCCCGCTGGTGCTGGGCCAGAAGCTGGGCGCTCTCGAGCCGTGCCACCCCGGCGATGGGGTGGGCCCCACCAGACTGTACCCCGCCGCCTCCGACCCGCTGGCCGTGAAGCTCCAGGGAGCGGCGGAGCTGAACGGAGGTTGCGGGGCCCTGCCGAACGGCGGCGGCGCGGGCGGGCTGCCCAAGCAGAGCCCGTTCCTCTATGCCACCGCCTTCTGGCCCAAGAGCTCCGCCGCCGCGGCGGCCGCAGCAGCGGCGGCCGCGGGGCCCCTGCAGTTGCAGCTGCCGTCGGCGCTCACGCTGCTGCCGCCCTCGTTCACCTCGCTGTGTCTGCCGGCGCAGAACTGGTGCGCCAAGTGCAATGCCTCCTTCCGCATGACCTCCGACCTAGTGTACCACATGAGGTCGCATCACAAAAAGGAGTACGCCATGGAGCCCTTGGTGAAGCGGCGGCGGGAGGAGAAACTCAAGTGCCCCATTTGCAACGAGTCCTTCAGGGAGCGCCACCACCTCTCCAGGCACATGACCTCGCATAATTGACACAGAAAGGACCCCCGCCTTCTGCGCGCGCGCACGCACAGTCGAACCACCTGCAGGAACAAACACGCGAGGACATCCACCACCTCCTTGTGACCGGAAACATCACACCCAGAGACACTCGCACACACACAGGCACACACACGTGGTCCCCCCCAACCTTTACATCCAGATGTTTACCTGTGACCTACACCACACACACACACACACACACACACACACACGAGACAGGATGGTGGATTTTTGATCGGGTGGGTTGTTTGAAGGGTTTTCTTTTGAATGCACGCATTTTCACTTTCCCAAAAACAAAGGTACATTTTTTAAAATGTCATATATTGCAACATATTGATGCATTTGTCATACGTTTCTACTTAAATTATTAAGCACATACGGTTTAGATGTAATAATTATATGTAAGGGCAAAATTTATTTTAGATATAAAGTAAAGGAGGAGGGTGAGATGCTTCCTGCATTTCTTGATTACAGTTTGTGTTCTTACAAAAATAAGCAAAACAAATAAAAAGGAGGTAACCATTCAGTTTAAGTTTCCAGGGGGAAGTGCATGTATCATGAAATGATTATGGACTTCAATGAAGAATGTCATCATTATGTAAATATGTATTTCCTTTTAATACAAAGTGTAATTTTGTGCCAGTGAAATGGAGTCTGAATAGTTAAGTGTTTCTTTTATCCCTGGAAAGATTTATTAAACTTTATAGATTATCTGGGTATGTTGGATGCTTTGACAATAAATGACTATTTTCCTCAAAGCAATTATTGGGAAAGTGTTTTAAAATGTTTTTTGTAGCTAAAGGCTACACTTTTGAGTGCGTGCTCAGATGCTTAGTATTGTCTGACTCTTTGCAACCCTATGGTTCCTCTGTCCATGGGATTACACTTTGAGTAGATACCATATATTTTCATTGAGCCCCTGAAAAGAAGAAACTACAAAACAGAGGAATGATAAACCCTGCCCCACTTGTATTATTTACTCTAAGCCAATTTTGAGCCTAAAAGTGAGAAGACAAGGTGATTATTACTTGGGAAATCTTTATCTGGAAAGGGTTGCACTTCTTGATCAAAGCACAAGTAATTTAAACTAAGATGCCTGCCATGAAGCTAACCAGTGTCTGGGATGTCGACGTTCTTTTCAGCAGCAGGATAAGTAGTATCTTCACAAGTGGCCAAAGACAAATGATTTTCAGACCTGGATTAGGGACAATGGGTGAAAAGACCACTTTTGGTTCTTACTAGCGATGCTTGCATGGAAGGGTATCTTGTGCTCTAAGAACCCTGTGGTTTTCTGTCATTAATCATTAAGAGACCCTCGGGAGAGTTTCTCCAGAAACTAAGGTGAAATGACCATGGTAGTCTATGTATTGCAGGGCCCTCTAAAGTTCTGAACAGCTGCATGGCCTCTGGAAAAAACTAGCCCTGAAGCATTACAATGCAGACCTAATAAATTTCTTCTCCCTGCCCTTCCTCTTATGAAAAGTCCCTCTGTACTCTTCATATACTGATGATAGTTCTTCAATAGTGTACTTATGTAAATGTGTGTGGTATGTAGAAAGCAGTAGATCAAAACCAAGTGGTCCTTTAGGTCTCAGGGTAGTATGCACTTAATCCATGGGCATCTTCAGAGAAGTCATTCTACAGGTGCTCTGGTAACCAATACTACACTGGTTTATGCATCAAATGAGGTGTTCCTTCCCATTTTTAATTCTTGCACATCTTGCCAACCCTCCCCTCTGTCAGAAGGAGAGTATCTGTGAAAAGTTCTGAAATGTGAGACTTGTATAAGATCTTATTGCAGGCCTTCAGTGGCCTTCCCTAGAAGGATTTTAAAGACTTCATTATCTTAAGGGGACTACATAACAAGTTATAATTAGGTAAACAGAGACCAAGGGTAGGGCAGAGATGGATCCATAGTGTGACCACTGAGATTGGTGAAAAAACAGGTTGACTTCTTAAGATTACCCAAGTACTTTTTGTGCTACCTTTCTTTGAGACCTGCTCTCAGTTTTCCTAAGCAACAGTCTGATGATCTGAAACACTAATCCCCAGTAAGATGTGATGAGAAGAACAGTCCAAAATTCCTGTTCTGTTTCTGCTCTGCATGATTAGTATAACTTGCATCATTATTGTTGGTATCATTAATTTACTTGCATTTTGCTTTTCTTATCTGTGCAATGACTGAGACAGGTTCTGCTATCTTTAAAGTACTTCTAGCACTGGGGAGTTGTTTTTTCTAATGGGCTAATCAGGCTCCGATTAAATCTAAAGAAGACTTTCTAGAGAAAAAAGCAAGATTGGTTTGGATGGCAAGAAATCAGAAAGATATTTGGGAACAAATAGAATGTGGGCCTCCAAGATCCTTAAATCACAACGCTTAAGAGGCTGACCAAACTATCCATCCCTAGAACACTAGTGGATCCCTAGAGCAAAAGTTTCTTAAAAACCAGCCAACCAACCACCAAGTCAACCAATCAAGGTTGCCTGGGGCCTAACTTTAAAAACAAAAACCCGATAACAAACAAAAAACCTTGAATGCTCCTTCATGTCTATCCCATCCTTCCAGAATCTTCCTTTCACTATGGTGGCTAGATTACCTGTTGGGTAGTCAAAGAAGAAGTTAAGTCTAAAGAAACAGTAAGCAAATACTGCTTCTTGAAAAGGACTTCTTCAGAGTCTAGAATCTTGTTGTTGTTTTTTAAGGATACTGTAGACACTTTTGAGCTTCTCCTGTGTTTTCTTTTGTATGGTAATCAATGTAAACACTCAATCAGGAAGAAAACTGAACCTTGGCTGAGCTAATGCCCAGGCGATCAGGTAGCTGAGTGAGTGGCAGACGCTTTAGGGCTGTGAAGTTTTACTGACCAATCTACCTAGGAGACTTTTTTGGGCGGGAAGCAGTAGGGGAAGGGTGCCCAGAGCTAGTTTTGCCTTCAGCCAAGGCAAACTGAGAAATGTTTTATTTTAATGTTGCATTTTCAAGCGTTTGGATGTATCAACTTTCTCGGATGAGACTTTCTAAAATTCCATAATCCCACCCATCTGCCAAACTAGCTGAGGTTGCTGGCTGAAGCCATAGGCGTAAATGTCTACACACAGCTGCGGGGGAAACAAGGTCATAGGGTCATGCAGGCTTGGAGTAGGCTGGTGCCGTGAAGTCCAGGCAGGTGGCCTGCGCTCCGAGTGCCTGCCAGGTCCTCCGGACTGGGCAAAAGGCAACTCAAGCGGCTGCCGCACTAGCATTTGCTGTGTCCCCAGTCAAGGGCAGATTGCTTGGAACTGGCCCGACTCTGGAATCTCCGAGCGCGCTCTCTGCGTGGATCGCGAACCCCTCTAGTCTTCTAGCTTTTGCGAGTAGGAGGGGAACGCGTCTATTTCCCAAGATGAGTTTCCAGGGTGTAGCCGAAGATCACCGGCGTGCGGGAACCGGAGGGCTGGGGAAAGAATGCACCAGTTCTCAGGCACTGGGGAGCCGAGACTGAAACCGGACCTACCGGGGATAGTTTCCAGGGTCCTGGGCCCACTTCTACGCTCTGCGGCTCTCTGAGGCCCAGGGTACCAGTGTAGCCGTCACACCGGCGCGCCAGCCAGCATAGACGTGTCGCCGCCGCCGGGCGCGGCGGGGGGATGGAGGGAGTGGGTCCAACAGGGTTGCGCGTTTCCCCCACACACCCCTGTCTGAACCGCCGCGTAGCACCCGCTTCTCGTCTTCTATTAAGTTCACCCTTCCTGCAGCTTGTCTCTTAGAATCACCCCAGCGCCGAAACCTGGAACACCCGGGACCACCCGTACCCAGAAAACGACCAGGAGGGGCAACCTCTCCTCCCGGATTCCGAGGGCCCCAAAAGCGGCCTCGCCTCGTGAGTCAGGGGTTTCTCCTCTCTTTCTCCACGCACTATCGGCCCAGACTCCCCCCCACCAAGGACGGTGCAGCCGGCTCGAGTCCACGATCGGAGCGCCAGGCTAGGTGCGCTTGGCAAGGCACACGCGTCCGAGTCCGAAGCCTTCAGAGCTCGGCAGTGCGGAGACAGGGCACATAAGGGGACCGCCTAGGACCCAGCGAGGGACGGCAGGCAAGCGCGACGGCCAAGGATCCGCCCTGAGCTTTTAGACTTTCCTTCCTCCCCACGCCCCTCGCCCTCGCCCAATCCCGTGTGCTGGAATCAGTCTCGCCCATTCTTTGGTATCTCCCGTTTTCCCTTCCCTCCACCCCTCCATCACTTTCACGCTGTATTCCGTCTCTTAAGTACTTCTTAAGTACTGGAGATTTGAGATCATTCTTAGAGTTTTATTAGGAAACCTCTCCCCGCCGGATGATTCTCAACCATTCAGGCAACCGACTCCTGAGGCGGTTGCCCCAGCCCGAGGGGAGACTGCTCTGCCGATTGGATTGATTGAGACTTAAAGACTTCTGCACACCCTACCTTGGGGTCTGGGGAGTCAAAGAGATGAGCAAATGCCAGCCCCCCCCCCAAACAGACACTCCCTCCGCCCCCATATAGGAGCACACAGCCACGTGTGTCGCCTCCTGAAAAATTCCTCCTAGGAGAGGAAGATGTCGTCTGATGTTCTTCTGTCCTTAAACTGATGTGCCTGTGTCCTTGTTTGGAAATGCTGTCTTTCCCTGAAGGTGTGAAAGTACCTCCAAGGGATGTCGAAAATTAAGCCTGCCCAGAAGCTGAACTGGGAATAGAGTGAGAAGCTGGGCTACTTCCTTCTAAATGTGTTTTGGCTGACAGGTGGGCCAGGAGCCTAGAATGTTGAGCCAGAAGCATCCCTGTTAGGCCAGTGGGCCTGAATGCCTGCTGAGTGTGACTGGGCTGGGTGGGCAGAAGGGGTGTTCTCAGCCTCTTGGCTTCACAGACCTATTCCTAAGGCAAATTTTACTTTTTTAAAAAACATTAAATTGGACTTAAAACTTTTTAGAAACATAGCTATTCTCCAGGGCAAGAGGATGAAGAAACTAAAGAGAAAGTTCTTTTTAAAATTTATTTTTTAAAACTCTCCAGGGCCAACAAAGGTCCGTATAGTCAAAGCTATGGTTTTTCCAGTAGTCATGTATGGATGTGAGAGTTGGACTATAAAGAAAGCTGAGCGCTGAAGAATTGATGCTTTTGAACTGTGGTGTTGGAGGACTCCTGAGAGTCCCTTGGACTGCAAGGAGATCCAACCAGTCCATCCTAAAGGAAATCAGTCCTGGGTGTTCATTGGAAGGACTGATGCTGAAGCTGAAACTCCAATACTTTGACCACCTGATGTGAAGAACTGACTCATTTGAAAAGACCTTGATGCTGGGAAAGATTGAAGGAGGGAGGAGAAGGGGACAACTGAGGATGAGATGGTTGGATGGCATCATTGACTCGGTGGACATGGGTTTGAGTCAACTCTGGGAGTCAGTGATGGACAGGGAGGCCTGGTGTGCCTGTGTGTCCATGGGGTCACAACGAGTCAGACACGACTGAGCGACTTAACTGAAGTGAACTGAGGGTCTGAGATCTGGTAAGCTGTTCTACTTGAGTAGCTAATCTGGTTATAATTGTTATTTACATATGCCTTTTCAGCGATTCCCAGGTGACACTAGTGATAAAGAACCCACCTACCAATGCAGGAGACATAAGAGGTGTGGGTTCAATCCCTGGGTCTAGAAGATCCCCTGAAGGAGGGAATGGCAACCCACTCCAGTATTCTTGCCTGGAGAATCCCATGGAAAGAGGAGCCTGGAGGGCTATAGTTCATAGGATTGCAAAGAGTCAGACAGGACT